TCCCCCCTCCCTCCCTTGTTCCTTCCTTCCCTCTCTCTCTCCTTCCTTCCTTCCTTCCCTCCCTTCCTCCTTCCTTCCTTCCCTTTTTCCCTCCTTCCTTCCTTCCCTCCCTCCCTCCCTCGCTCTCCCTCTCTCTTCCTCTCTCTCTCCCTCTTTCTCACTCCTTCATCTTCTTACTCACATACTTACACATTCCTTTCTTATTCTTACAAAACCAAGAGGTCGACGGAAACAAAAGACGAGCGCGATGTTGCAAGAATCACAGTCTTAAGAATTAATCATTTCTTGCTATATATATTTTTTTATTCTAAGCTTCAGGGTGAGAGAGAAAAGCACACAACCGCACGCCAAATCTAGTGGGAATATAGAGTTCTTGTCAACAAGGTTCAAAAGAAAGAATAACTTCGAAAATTTCTCTGTTGCAATAACGTGCAATATGGATGTGAATGTTGCAGTGAGTGGGGATTGGTGATGATTTCTCTCTCTCTCTCTCTCTCTCTCTCTCTCTCTCTCTTTCTCTAACTCTAACTCTCTCTCTCTCTCTCTCTCTCTCTCTCTCTCTCTCTCTCTCTCTCTCTCTCTCTCTCTCTCTCTCCCTCTCTCTCCCTCTCTCTCATCCCCTCTCTCTCCTTTCTCTCTTTTTTTTTATCTCTCTATTACCCCAAATGCATTTATAGAAATCGCATATTCATATCCAAACAATTTTTATAGAACTCTCAAACCAAATTATACATTTCCAATTGACATAATATCTGCACTTAAATCATTATTTTCATATATATACACACACACACACACATATATATGTGTGTGTGTGTGTGTGTGTGTGTGTGTGTGTGTGTGTGTGTGTGTGTATGTGTGTGTGTGTGTGTGTGTATGTATATATATATATATATATATATATATATATATATATATATATATATATATATATCATATATATACATTTTTTTTCAAAGCGGATTCTATGACCCACCTTCAGTTAGCATACATTTATTCACGATATCCTAGATGCTCTGTAGTAACGCTCTAATATAAATGCACCAGCTATATAACCACCTCTAACCATGATATCCCGTCTGAGAATGATACTGCAATACATTAAAATATCCAACCTGGTTTATCCTTTTTTTCATTATTATTTTAACAGTCCAGCTAATACAATGATTCAGTGATATATTATATACCCAAGATGTTTTGCGCACCACTTATAAGTAATCCCCACCTTTATAAATTAAACTATCCAGACTTCTGCAATTAAATCTCTTCCCATCGATACAGCTCTGTTGAAATATTAATAATACATAGCCATGTGTAAGCCATTCTAATACTACCAAATATAAACAGCCCATCAAAGTAACTCCTTATTTTAGGTAACAACATCTCACTCTCCATCTAAATAGCCTTTAGTTGATACAATTACACGTTACCACACCGCCCGTGGTTCCTGAACCGAGAAAGGAGAAGGGAGAAGCAGCCTCATCGTATATCAGTTGTGTAAAGAGGTTGTCCAGATACCAGGGACGTTCAATGGAGAACAATAAAGTTCCTGTGAGACGTCGGGCTTTCTTGGCACAGGGGAACTGGAGTTATAGAGGTGTACGCGTTCAAAGGGAAAGGGGGAGGGGGGGGGGGTTTTAGGCTATTTGTCCGACGGTATGTTTATTTTTTTTTTCTTCTTCTTCTTTTTCTTTTTTCAATTCTAATATTAAGTTTTATTATTTGTTCTTCTTCTTCTTTTTCTTTTTTCAATTTTAATATCAAGTTTTACTATTTGTTCTTCTTCTTCTTCTTCTTTTTTCAATATAAACCCATCGCCTATAGCATCAGTAACGATATATCCATGTTGATTCACTCTTATATCACGTGATTATGGTGTATTAAAGTACAGATATCGATGCTTCCGGATAAAAGCCAAATAATCAATAAAATCTTAAATAAACAGCAAAATGTATGTGGGAGTTTTGGGTAGATAAAGATGGTAGATAAAGAAACAGTAGGAGGAGGAGGAGGAGGAGGAGGAGGAGGAAGGGGGCAGGGAGGAGGAGGAAGGAGACGGGGGGGGGAGGAAGGGGGCAGGGAGGAGGAAGAGGAGAAGGAGGAGACGGAGGAGGAGTAGGGGCGGGGGAGGGAGGAAGGGGAGGGGGGAAAGGAGGAGGAGGAGGAGTATGGGGAGGGGGAAAAGGAGGAGGAGGAGGAGGAGGGGGAGGGGGAAAGGAGGAGGAGGAAAGGGGAGGAGCAGGAGAAAAGAGGAAGAGGAGGAGGAGAGGGAGGAGAAAGAGGAAAGAGGAGGAGGAGAAGGAGGAAAGGGGGGAGGAGGAGGAGGGGGGGAGGGGGGTAGGAGGGGTAGGAGGAGAAGGAGGAAAAGGAGGAGGAGAAGGAGGAGGAGGAGGGGGAGGGGGAGGGGGAGGAGAAGTAGGAGTAGGAAAGGGGAGGAGGAAATGAGGAAAGGGGAGGAGGTGGAGGGAGAGGCGGAAGAGGAGGAGGAGGAGTAAGAAGG